AAGAATTTCAGGGGAGTGACCTAAATCTTCATGATTGCAAATCCTGTTTAGTTTTCTTTGTTTGGTTGCTTGAATTTTATCCTAATTCAGAAACAAATTATGTGCTGTTATTTTTAACAGAAATACTGCCAATTACTGATGTCTTTTCCTGACAATTTCAGAGTCAGTTTCAGGCTGAAACTTTCTTGAATCCGACCATTACACAACACTTCAGACAAATGAACACAGTATTTGCTGCAGTATGTGATTTCTATAGTTAAACTTCAAGATAAATAAAATTTCAGTTTCATAATAGCATCTCTGTTTCTCAGGATTCTTGAAGTTAGATTGTCAGTTTTATATGGCAAAAAAATCGTTATAAGCTGTAGTGTTATATAGGTAAAGGATTGCACAAAGGAAACGACAATATAAACCCTAACAGGAGAAATAAACTTGTCCTGCATGTAGATTATCCAATAAGGAGTCATCAGATAAAACCTTGATCAAGTCATGGGGAATGGATCTGTTGAAATGCAACTTAATAAGTTTGAAATATAAGTGATATAAAACAAGTGCAGTTGTTTTTATTAAGACAGTGATTCAGATTTCAGTTTGATTTCTCTGTTAAAACTAGGACTTCCTCTACTTCTAATTTAAAATATTATTATAATAGAAATTTTGCTGAATCAGAGAAGCATGAAATAGCCATTTCCAATACATGTGGCGGTGGTGGTGGTGATGATGATGATGATAAGAAGAAGAAGAAAAAAAAGGAGTGTTATTTTCTAGGAGTCTTTTTTCTATTCAGGTGCTTAATTTTAGTTAAAATAAAGACAGCTTATGACTTTTTAAAGAGAACCTTGAAGTTATTTTGGATTATTTAATTAAATAAAGGAAAACTGGATTAAACTGGATTTCTTTGGGTGAAACAAATGATAAACATCATTTTGTGCAGCAAATAATTTTCTTCAAGACCACTTATATGTGTATCTGTCAAGGAAAGACAACAGAGAAGTGTTTTAAGCATGTTTACGAAGTGTTTAAGTGTTTATGGGAGTTGCATTATGTTCTGTTAGTTATGGCGCAAGACCAAAAACTTGATCTATAAGCTCTAGTTACTCCTAATACTCTTGTATTACTTGCAGCATGCAGTAACAATGTTAAAAATGTTTAGTGCTTTGCATTACAAATTTCCAGTGATACACACACATCTCAGATATGTAGGGTTTCTCCAGGAGGAAGGAATGTGTTGATGACAGTAAAAACTAGCATGTCTTCTGTAGCCTCCAAATGTTCAGTTTGGGAGACACTAAATGACTTAATAATGGGATTTTTTAAGAGAAAAATAAACTTGAGAACTGGGGAGAAGAGCAGAAGAGCCTTTTAGGTCCTTATAATTCTCGTGAAGTCTTCAATATGCATTTCTAAACTCAACTGGACTTTCAGTTATTTTTGGAAATTTATTTTTTATCACTGGTAATTTCCACTAGTTACTTTTACATTGAGTCATTCTTTCCTTATATCTGTCTAGATGCTCCTTTCTTTGTGTGTGTGCTCTGTTCATCTACAGCAGGCTACTGGACCTAAGAACTGTAGGCAGTAATTAAGACTTCAGCAGAGACATAAAAGAGCTGTACTTCTAGGAAATTATGTACTCAATTTGAATATGTGTTTCTTATAGCTACCTGTTACACTGTGGCAGTGATGTCCACAGATGGCCAATTAAATGCATTTGAAATTAGAAACTGAGTCCTTCTGTTCAGCCTTACTCTGAAAAGAGTTTTGGGAAACTGGACTAGTGGAAATTTTCTCAATATTTTTTGATCTTGCACCTCAGCATGCTAAATTTTCAAACTAAGCCATTGCTTCTTAAGTGACAGTCCTAACAATATAACTGTATGGCAAGATTCAAGATAGGTCTTTTTAAACTGTGCATGATAACAAATATAGGTGATGAAGATTTAAAAATTCAGTTATTTTCTTAGAGAGAGAGAGAGAGAGAGAGAGAGACTCTAGTTTTGCACTCTTTGATGATTTTGAATAAAATAAAATAATTGAGTAGGAATTAAACAGTCTTACTGTCTGCCTGGTACATGCAAGAAGACTCGGTTTCCCTTCATTCTATTGACTGGGTGGTTCATTAGGAAAAAACAAAAACAAACAAACACAAAAATCTCAACAACAACAACAACAAAACCTCCAGTAATTAAAACTCAGTTTTATTACTAGTTTAGAAATGTCACTCCATTCCTACAAATAAGGAAAAGTTCTGAACATTGAATACCTAGCAATATGAAGGCCAGCTGTGTGAAGGATAATTGGCTCTTCAAACATAACAGTTGGTGCACTCTGTGGATCAGAGTGAATTCACCTCCATCACTTCCTACTTTTAGTTCAAAGATATTGGGCATTGCTAACAGAGATGCATTTGAACTTGAGAGTGACATCTTCTGCATAAATGTTTTACCACTGAGAAGTTTGTGGACATTAAAAGTATGAAAATGGATACATGAAACTATTTTATATTGGCATTGTTTTCATTCATGAGTTAAAACTGGATTTGCTTAGTCAGAATTCATTTATTTGTTTGAATAGGTGAGCTTAGGGTGACTTTTATTTACAAGGAAAACACTTGGCATAACCTGAAATTTCATTGAAAACTTGCAATGACAAAATACTGCAATGTATTCGGTGTGGTGGGTATTATGAGCAGTAAATAAAATTCCCTTTCCATCTCTCTCTCATTCTTAACAATAAATTTCACGATAGTCACGAGAACTCTAATAGGTGGTGGATAGACCCTTGTTTGGAGATTTCCAAACCAGTTGAGTCTCTCTTGTGTTTAATAAATTAATTTTTTAAATGAATTCTCATCAAGTTTCTAATTATAATATCTTTAAATTTAATGTTTGTATTTCTGATGAAAGACAAACATTTTGGGGGCAGTCATAAGGGACATGAATAATTTCTTTAGAAGCTTATCTAATTAATTACATTTCTCTGTAATGTCTTTAAAATTTGAACTGCCATCATTTCATTAATTTAGATAAAAGCAGATCTTTAGTGTTTTAATATGACACTAGTGCTGAGAATTCTGATAAGCTTAAGATTCATTGTCTGTATTTTTATCAACTTAAGATTAAAAAAAGAAGTGCTTAAAATTTTTGGGATTCATGATTTGCGTATTAACTTTTATTTCAAATACATTATTATTTCATGGCATATGTATTCACATCACCTGTTTATAAGTAAGATCTTAGGATGCAATATGGATAAAAATATTACTCTTACAGTATTACGGTGAAGATTTGATTTTCTTCTGTAACGTGTTTCATTCTGAACTAAAACTTTCGGCTCCTTCAAATGGGAAGCATTTAAAGTCTGATGTCTTGTAATTGTTCATATCCTATACAGGTAGAATTTTAGTATTTCATGCTATCCTGCAAACATAAAGCCTTTGTTTATGGCACTAGTACATTTGATGATAGCGTGGTTTAGTTTCTTTTGAAACAGTTATTGTTATGCTGTTGAAAATATTACTAGAGCAATTGAAATTTTCACATTTAGATTTATAAGTGGAGCCTCAAAAACTATGGCTGTCTTAAGCATACAAGGAAAAAAACTGGATGCAAGAGGTAGGGTTTGATTAGGTCATGACACTATTAACTTTGGTGGAAACCACAGTCAGTACAGTGTATATAGTAATTCTTCCTTGGTCATCTCTACCACTTGTAGGGCTACATGCCCACTGATGGAGCCTGACCTACATTTGTTATGAGAGGTACATTGAATAACAGGCAGTAGCAACTTCTGCTCTGCCTTCCCCTAAACCAGTTCTGTATTGCCAGAGAAGAGAACCCACATGGACTGATAACAGCTTTGGGCAGCTGCTAAGCTGTCACAACCATGAGTAAGTTGATAGCCTGACTTATGGTAGCAGCTTTCTTGCCTGCAGTAATAATTTAGGCTAAAGCACGTAGTTCAATCACAAGTCAGACCCAGAGTTTAATTCACACAGTGTGCAGTTCTTCAAACTGTTGATGATACAAACAAGATAAAATACTATGGTTGTAAAATAATACCCACTAAGAGACGGATTTTGAAACTAGTGTTGGGTTACTTGTGTGCTATAGAATAATTTTCTAAACTCTTCAGATCAGCTAGTCACCTCAGCTTAAACTGAATTCATGTTTTTGCTCTTTGGGGAAAAAATAATCTAAAATATTTATAAATAGTCTCTTAAAATAAATTAACTTTACTGAATTGAAGGAAACACAGTAGAAACTGATGGAAATCTATTCAAAGTAGAATATGAACTGTTGATTTAGCTTTTCTTTCCTTACAGATTAAGATGTTACAGATACAGATGTTATTCTGTTCTTTATAGTGATAAACACTTCTATGCAAAATAGCTCCATATTATTAATAATGAGGCTTTATTTTGGTGGAGAAAGAAGCTCACAGGTCATATTTTTGGTCAGTGGCAGATGAATCAAAGTGCTTAAATAGTCCAAAGCACTGTCTAATTTTGTCTATGTCAATCTACTGCCTATCTTTCTCACAAAGTAGGTCTCCATGTTAATCGTATTTGTAATGAAGAAATAATAGATGTGCAGTCAGAAGAACTAATAGTGTAAAATGCACTGTGCTCTGCCAAAGATAAACAAAGAAATAAATCTATGTTTTTTACAGTCTTCCCTTTTCCATGTATAATGGACTTTATCAATAAAACAATACAAACTTCATCAAAGAAAAATCTTACCAATTTAGTCCAAGAAAGGTCTTCATTGAGCTAATCTCTTACAAATGCTGTTTGCAATAGGGATCTATTTATTCTTTTCAACCATAAAATACTGGCCGTCCTTCTTTATCTCATGCTCCAACTCCACAATCCATTACAGATAAGAAAACCCAATTAGGAAAGGACAGAAGACAGGAAGAGCATGGTTACTGTGTAGGTATTTATGTATCAGTCTCAAATTAAATATGTTTACCTTTTATGCTTTGATTTCTTTTCTTAGGGAACCACAGTCAAGTGTCCCGGTTGCCTGTTGCTATCAAAGTTCTTGATGTAAACGACAATGCTCCTGAGTTTGCATCAGAGCATGAAGCCTTTTTATGTGAGAATGGGAAGCCTGGACAAGTAAGTATCTCTATGTTTCTATGTTGTGTACTTTGTTGTGTGGGAATGAGGTGCTGTTTCTCCCTGTCATCTTATCTTTATTCCCAAAATGTATGCCTATGTGTTCATGCTAACAACTCTTACCATTCATATAAGATAAACCATGATTGTATTCTGTGTTATGTCTCTCTACATATAGACATACATATTTTTTGAAGTACAGGTTTTAAATTACAGGTAGGTATCTTAGGACAATATCCAGAAAAAATGCTGAATGTCTTTAAGCTCCCACTGTTTCCATGCTGATGAAGCTCATCACATCCTAAGTTCATGTGTGTTAACAGGTAAAGGTATAATCCAACTTGAAGTCCAGTATTGCAGCTGGGCCTAGGTATACACTTAAAACAATAGAACTGTTTCTCCCTACCCATATCTCAGTTATAATCTCCATCTATTTAGTTCTTACTCACTTTTCTATGATAATTAGGAAAAAACAAGAAAACAAACCAGAACTTGATGGAAAGTGAATAAATTGTAACTAGATTTAAAGTATATAAAGAGGGGATGGGGAGTTGGGGAAGTGGAGTCCAAGTTTTCATTATACTTCACAAAAAAAGAAACTACTAAAGAGGTTATTTCCTCCTTGTTTTAATGAAATAAAAGGGTTGGCAAAGGAACTTGCACAACACTCTACAAGGTGAAATAAACATACCAAGACATCAGAAGCAAGATCTTACCTGTATACCCTTTTTCAAGGAAAATCAAACATATTTCTTAAAAGGTATCTATTTTGAAGGACAAATGCACAGAAATAATGAAGAATATATCTTATGTCATATAAATGACAAGATAAAGATTGAAGAAAATGTACAGACTTTTAGAAAGTAATGCAGTGTAAATGAGATTTAATTTTTGTCCAGCTTGAGAAACACTGCATGTTACAACTCACTGTTTTTAAACTTTCTGATTTATTTCTAGATTGTGACATTTTATTTAAATAAGCAGCAGCTGACAGCATGACACTAGTTTTGTTAATCCGACTATTCCTGTGTCTTATGTAGGTGTTAGGCATTAAATTCACTATTCTCCAAAGAAAGTTACCTGACAATAGAGTTAGAAATAATATTTTTTTAGTAGTATTAAATGACAACCTATATAGTAGTATTTGACATTCTACCTCTGCCAGAACTAGATTGTTGCAGAAGATGATTTGACTTCTAGCACCCCTTTCTGTTTATTACAAAGGTGTCAAATACGGGTCATTTAAGAAATGGGAATTCTCACTAACCACTGAAAAGCTGATTACTGAAATGTGCCCTTATGGGCAGACATTTATGTTACTGTTGATATTTAAGTTCTTCTACCTCAGAGTGGATTTCTGTTTAGCTCAGGGTGGATTTCAGATGCTGAGTAGTTATGTTTTCCGGTTACGTTTATTTATATTAAATTTTAATGAGTATACCTTTATCCAGGGCTTTTACATAACAACAAACAGTGTAAGCACTGTTACATAGTGTTTTCTGACTATATTTGTCTAAATATTGCCATCAAATTTCATATGGTTTAGGACATAGTGAAAAGTGTTCACATTTCAGTTTGGAAAAAAACAATAAATGAGATGATTAAGAGTCAACTAGTAAAAGAGGCTTTTGTTTAAGCACTTACGGAAAACTTTCATTAAACCATGATATTCTTCATCTTACCATTACCTCTTACACTCTTGATCTGATGGCAGATGTCACTCTTGAACATGAATCCTTGTGTGAACTTTACAGATGGTTATTAAATATTTGGCTGCCAGCATGGATGAGGTGGCACTGATCCTGCAATTTATTCTGTGTTTTAAACAAATAACTTCATTGGAACAGTAACCAGTCCAGAATAATCACCAAGGTTAGGTTCTAAATTTAAGTCGTCATTTGAAAATTGTATGCTCCTGTAAAAATTTTAGTTCCTACACTGCCTGATTGGTTTTTCTTATGCTTATTATTCTACATTCAAATTTTGGAAGAAATCGTATTACTCAGTCAATATGTAGAATTCAAAAAATTAAATATATCTCAGCTATGAAATAGCTAATATGAGAAAGACACTACTCTCTTACATAGTAGCAAAAGCCTAATTTGGTAGTTCACCAAAGTTTGCACTTGAATGTTACATTTGCAGGAAAGGTGCAATTGTAATATGACGTTCCAATCCATTTACGTTTGCAGTTCAACTTAAATCTGAGTTTAAATCAAATTTGAATTACTATAAGGGAGATTACATTTGAACCTTTCATGAAACCTTGTTTGCAGTCCCTAAATATATTGAACCATGTGTTACAGTTCAGTTTCTAAGTGTTCTATTTTCGGTTTTGATATAATTGCAAGTGGCAAGTGCAGCTGCTGGTGATGTGACAGAATGTATTAAAAACTGTTGTTGTATAACATTGCCAGATGCATTTTCTTTGCTTTAACCTACCTCTTAACAGTAGAGGTACTACAGGTAGTAGGAGAGGAAAGAGAGAGGAGGAGGAGATGTATTTGTCCATAGACATATTTGTGCTCCTTGCACATTTTTACACACAATAGAATTTGCCAGAAATGTTTTTGTCAGGGTTTGGGGTTTTTTGCTGTTTGTTTGTTTGTTGGGGTTTTTTTTGGGGGGAGGGAAAGATCTGAATATACTGTTACAGTACCTCTAAGCTAA